ACGTTGCCTGGAGAAGCGGGATGAGTTGGGTACTCAGGGAAGAGATCTCCAAGAAAACTCTGGCGCAAGTGTTTGAATGACAGGCATGCTGTGCAGGATGCAGGATGAACAGATGCTCAAGGAACACACAGCTAACCTGACCAAGACGAGGAGCAAACTCCTTCCCTGCTGCTCTAACTGGGCAGCAGGGCCCCGGGGAAGTGGTGGGCCAGGGGAAGTCATCCTTCTTTCTCCCATGGTTCTCTGCTAGGCAGCATCCTAACCAGGTCTCAAGCCGAAGAGCCTCAACTTTATGTCACAACTGCATTACCTTCTATTATTTAAAAAGAATTAGGTGTCCACCTATAGAAAGCAGAACAGAGAAGGAGTGATAAGGCGTGACAAAGGCTAGCCGGTGCCAGGCAAATCGAAGGGTCTGTCTTTGAATTTTTGGGGGTATGCACTTGAACCTCATTTGAGCCACTGGGTTTTTCCTGAGCTTGGGCCTCGCTCCCCCGGGGGGAAGCTGACTCCGATGCTCACAGCATTCTTCACTCCGTGATGCCCAGGCCAGGGCTCGTCTCCAGTGGCAGCCCAGTGCCAGCCTCCGCCTCACCTCCGCACTCACCTCACCTGCTGCGGGGTCCATGGATGACCAGCCCCGAAGACTGCTTCTCATGCTCTTCCTCCTTGTCACCCGCTGAGCGTACTGGTGACAACTGCTGTTCTCCTCACATGGAAGTCCCTCCTTGCCTGTCTGCGCATCTCGCTTTGCTTTCTGCCCGACTCCTTGCCTGCATCTTGCTGCTCCTCCTGGGATCCGCCCCGTACCAGGTCTCTCTTTTCTTCATCTCTTCTTCTCCATGAATGTGCTATCCCAGCTCGCCGTTCAACTCCAGCACAAGGGGATGTGTGTGACTCTCCAGCTCTAGTTCAGGGTCTTCTTCTCCCAAGAAAGCAACCTGGCACCTCCCAGATTCTCCTGGCACTTCATTTCTGGCAGTTACAAAGACACGTTGCATGGGATTCTCTGCATGCGACACCGTCCTGCAGACCAGGGCCTGCAATGCACCATGGGAAGGGACTTGCTACTAAGATCTGATCTTTAGCTCTGGGATCCCTAATAAGAACTCATAGACTAGTTGACTTGAATTAAGACAACGGAAAATCTGAGGGACTTGGAGATTTCTTGACGTACCCCGACATGCATCCTACATCTCCTGGACCCTAGCAGGTCCTGTCCTGTGAGGCCCAAAACACAAGAGCTCTGAGGCGACATGAGGCCTGGCCCCTTGGTAAGCTGTGAAATAATTGTTGGTCTTTGAGATCTGGGGAGGGCAGAGTCCCTGGTTCCTGGGCTGATGGAAGGCGGAGGTGAAGCTGGGGTGGATTCGCTGGGGAGCTGCTGTGGATTTCACTCCCAATGCTCTTCTGACACGCGGGAAAGGCAGTGCACAGGCACTGAGAGGAGCTGGGGGCCAGCAGGCAGATTTCCCCAGAACCCCCTGCGGGGTGTTGGCCGGCAGATCGCTGAAGCACAGGGTCACTTGACTTGCTTTCTTCTCTGTGTCATGCAGAGTGCAGAGTGGCCTTGGGTTCAGAAGTAAAGCAAGCAGGCCGGGGGAGTTGCCTGCCACTAGACTAATCGCACAGCTTTCTCAGGTAGAGAGGTGCGGGGTTGTCTGCACTTTCCATGGTCGGCCAGTGAGAAAGCTCCACGGCCTTGGAGGAGCACCTGTGAAAGCGTTCACGCAGGTGTGAACAGGGTACACCCAGGGGAGAGCGCCATCAGTCCTCCACGCCGGTGTGAGAACTCTGCAGCCCGGACCCTTAGTATCGGGGGCCTGAGTCCCTGGGAACAGGGGTCAGCGCCAGACAGTGAGAAGAGCTGAAGTCAGAGAAACAAGACAGGACAAATACAATGAAGTTTTGGGGGTTTTACTCTTGTTTTGTTACCAAGTCAAAAACACTTTTTCCTTAAAAAGTAGCTTTTCCTAATGTGTCTTACTCATGCCTCCACCAAAGTTAGCACCAAGTGTGACGTGGTGTCTGAAGTCAACTGGCCTAATTCTAATGCATATTTTCTTGTCATATTTCATTGTCTAAACTATGATTGTTAGCAAGGATCCAAGTATTCTTGTGTGGGAACAAGCCAGGTAGGGTTGTACACCCCGCAGTTACAGCCACCTGAGAGCCAGAGGTCGGAGAATCATGAGTTGGAGGCCAGCTAGAAAAGTTACAAAATGCGATTGGAAAGATAGACTAAAAACAAGAGGGTTGGGGCATAGTTCAACTGATTCAGTGCTTGTGAAATGGGTGCAAACAGGTTCAAGCCCAAGCACCACAAAAATTAAAACACTGTAACTGAATTAATATGAAAAGATCTCATTTAAAATGTTAATATTATTCAAAATGACAATAGTTCGTTCATGTGTCCCTTAACTTGGTGAGCAGCACCCTTGAGTATATTGTCTATTTTTGCATGCAGAATGTCTGGATTTTTGTTTCCTATTAAGTGCATTGAGTATATATGTTCTCTACCATAAAGAACAAGACATTTTCTTGTTTTCCCTTCTCATTTTAAGAATGCCATTCTCATCTCAGTAGGATGACCAAGGATCTGAAGACTTTTGAAGCCCAGGAGAGTCTTAGTCGGTCAGCAGCACAGTAAAGGGAAAAATCAAAGATTTATCCCTATTACAAATAAGCTAGCTACCGATCAACCTTCTTTGCCAAGGGAGCCTAGGGGTCATTCAGTTTGCGTAAAACTTCTGCCCATGTATGCATGCATATCCATCCATCCATCCATCCATCCATCCATCCATCCATCCATCCATCCATCCATCCATCCCTTTCCTTTTCCTTCCTCCCCCTTCCTTCTCCTCTCCCTCCATTCCCTTCTTTCTTCTCTCCCTCCCTTTCTTTTCTCCTCCCATTTTCTTCCTCCTTCCTTCCCCTTTTCCTTCTGCCTTCCCTCCCTCCTTCCCTAACCTTTTCTTCTATCTTTTTCTCTCATCATGTATGGATGAAAACAAGATAAGCCAATTGGCATGAACAACTGTGATTTTTTTTTCTTTTGTAGCTCTGATGCTGGAGGCTTGTAGATGGATAAGTTACTCACAGCCTGCCTCCAAAGGGTCCCAGAGGTCAAGGACAACCTTGGTCATTCAAGCTGCTGATGTGAACCATGAAGATCAAAATCATAAAGAAGCAAGTAAGTTCCTGCTAGGAAGGCGTGCACAGCAAGACATCCATCTCCCCTCAGCACACAGCGATTGCTGTGTGTTTGGAAAGGTAAAAACAGTTATTAGGTTACACAAAGGTAATGTCTATACTGCACTCTCTACTGTTACTTGATTATTTCATTCTACAAAAATCAATATGGCATAGACACTGTCCTCAACTCCATGTTTTTCTCTCTAGAAGGGTAGAAGCATTTCTTTGAGGAAATCCAAAAACACAAATCTTTTGGTAACGAAAACCAGGTCCAACGTGTACACGGAATTTGTAGGACAATTCAAATGTAAATTTCTGCCTACTGCTCCGTGCTAGAAAGGAACTTTCCACTTTTAAAAATCTGCACGAATCAAGTACATTTGGATTGTTGTCAAACTTGAAGCAAGCACCGCTGTGTTTAGACTTGGAGCTGAGTTAAACTTTGGAGAGAGACAGGGAGCAAGTTTTAAAGGAAGATGGCAGCCAATTTCTTTCATGATTTATTATTTTTTATTTTTCCAAGAACAGTTAACATTTACTAGGCACCTATTGGCCTTAGTCACTTGCATCTAAAGAGCAAAGCTAATTAACCCACAGCCCACGTTCTTTGAAATGGTTAGCCTTATTCCTAGCTCTTTTCACCACTAGTCTAGCATTAGCTTCAAGGTCGTTATTATCTACTGCTCCCTGTCAGATGAACAGAAAAGTCAGGGGGTGATAGGATCAGGTGAGCAGTTTACATCTTCTGTAGATACTTCAAGTAATTGGCCCCAAGGGGAAACTACTGAGTTGGCCATGGTTTCTCGTGTTCTGAGGACATAAAATGTGGAAGGAAATTGACCTGTAGAAAGAGTTAATATCCAAGAATGTGTGAACGTGTGAAAATCCTATAACTTCATCTCAGCTGGCCTAATATCCTGAGTCACTAGATGATCAGAAGAATACAGTACAAAAGGAATGGACTGATGTACATTGATTCTAAAACCCCCAAAACAGAAGTTTGTACAAGATGAACAAGTGAAATGAAGTCACTTCTACCGAAACAAAAATCTCACACAGGTCATTTCTGTTTTTTTTTTTTTTTTTTGTTATACGTACGTGGACATACACACACCCACACACGCACAGACACACAAGCAAGAATGTGTATTTTGTAAGATAAGATCCTTGGAAATAGACATTCTTAGCAAATGTGGATGACAGATCAATTGGAATTTATTTTCTTTTAACACTGGATCATCATAAAGAAAACTGGTATAAATGAAAAAAAATCTATCTCAAATATCTACATCTAAAATTTTTAGGCAGTGACAAAGCACTTCTTTGACGAGGAGGAGGGTGGAATGATGGATGTTAATTGTCCCAAATGCTGGGTGCGTGGTTAGTTTTCACAAATTCACATATCAGAACGAACAATACTGCTAAATATTCCTTTTTTTTTTTTTTTTTTTTTTGCTTTTTGTTTTTGTTAAAACATACTGGGAGAAAGAAAAGAAAAGGAAAAAAACCTGGAAATCCATACATCTTTCAAAAGTCTGAAATTGAAGCAATATTTAGAACCATAGATGAGGGAACAGGGTAGCATTGGTGTAATATACACAATGCGCTTTTTTCTTCTTTTAATCTGTAATGTACATCAAATACTTTACAACAATGCTTTAACAAAAGGCAAGAGAACATCTTGCTGTACAGAGGAACCCGATGCAGCTTGTAGCCTAGAGTCACACGGATGAAGGGAGTAAAGAAAGTGTGCGAAGCCGTCCCCCATCAAGTGTGGAACCTCGTCTGCCCTGTGCTTGGCAACCGCCCCCAGGCCCCCCCCACCCTCCCCTCTCTCCTTCCTCCTCCACCTCCAGAATAAAGCACTTGTAAGACTCTACAGCTCACACTAGGTCGGTGCAGGGACACTGCCCTATTTAGGATTGCCTTAGCGTTCTACCGATTTCCAAGTTAGCCTTCCATTCAGTTTAGCTTTCTAAAATAGCTCTGGCTATCTCCTTATTGGTTATCACAGCCTTCCTACGGAACAGGCTTGAACAAACTAAAGTGGCAGGGAAAGAAGAAAAGAAACAGAAGTGTGTCGTGGTATGCATGCACATGCACTGTTCCGCAGCGCCTCCTGCCGCCTGGCCTCACACCCACGAGTCGGGCGAGGCCGGGTAGTGGCTCGTTTCATAGTTCAGTTCGCTGTAGGGGCGGGCGGCGGAGTAGAAGTCTACGTAGTTGCCGGTGGACTTGAGGCCCAGGTGCATGGTGTACTCGCTGGCCGGGGGGCGGTGGTGGACCTGGTCCTCGAAGAAAGACTCGTCGTAGTTTCTCGTGGAATTCTGAAATGGCTGGTAGGTCTCGTAGTCTTTCCTGCTGGGCTCCTGGGGGGCGGGCTGTGCTGAAACCTGCGGGGAACACGGGAGCCCCCAGTGAGCGAGTTCCACCTGCCCTCCCCCTCCCTCTGGAAAGACATGGAACCCCCCAGGCGCTCTCCACAGCTGGCCCACTGCGGTTGCCTCTCCCGAGTGTTTTCTGGTTCTGGTTGTGCATATTATGGTGTGTGTGTGTGTGTGTGTGTGTTGGTCACTTGATTACCCCATGTGCACTCAGTGTGTGTGATGAGATCAGGGTAATTAGCATCTTCAACGTCCTTCTAGCTCTTCATGAAACCCAATAAAAACCATTGTGAATAAGTTGCCCTGTTGTACTGTAGAACGTGGAAGCTTATTGAACCACAGTGGATGCTTCTTGGACCATTCTGGCACCCTTAGCTGACCTCTCTATAAAGCCTTCCCCCCTCCCCCCACCTCCTCTCCACCTGTCCTGGGCTCTACTGACCACTGTTCTGCTCTCTACCTCCATGGAACCAACTTTTTCAGCTTCTACGTTTGAGGACACGCTGTATTTGTCCTTCGGGGCCAGCGTTAGTTCACTGAATGGACTGTCCTCCAGAGCCTTCTCATGTTGTGACAGATGATAAGATTTCATTAAGAAACATGCTGGCTAGTATCCTCCATTGTGTATATCTGCCACACTCTTCAAAAGTGCTCCTTCCTGGTCCATAGTTAGCATTCCATGTAACATTCTGCTTTATTATTAGTAATAATTTTCTTATTATTTGAATGTATTTAATATAAAACTGACCGTTTAAAACCATTTTATTCGATGGTGTTAGTGTCATACACACACCCACACATATGTATATAGCATCACCCAATTGTCACAACTTTTTGCCATCCTAAACAGAAACTCTGCGCCCATTAAACTTCCCTCCCTGTTGAGCACTCTGCTCCCGGCCACCTCCATTCCACTTGGAATCTCTATGACTTTGCCTCTTCTAGAAGGCTCATCTGACTGGCGTCATCCAGGTCTTTTGTCCTTGGGGTCTGGTGTAGCATAATGTGTTCACGGTTCAGCCATGTTCTTTGTTTTTTGAGACTCCATATCTGCTGTTCCCCTGTGGGGGCAGGACTGCATTTATTTATCCATCTAGGTGCTGAGCTCTCTACCTTCTTATGCCTGCTTCAGGGAACATGGATATTTGCTGGCTGATTTGAATCGCTGCTTTTGCTTCTTTCTGGTAGAGTCAGCAGTGAGTCAGGGAGAATTCTATGTTTAACCTTCCAGAGAACCACCAAATGATTTGCTCGAGCAGCGATACTATTTTACTGTTAGTGATCACATTTAGTGTGTGTGTGTGTGTGTGTGTGTGTGTGTGTGTGTGTGTGAGTGTTTGCTCCAGGGGGCCAAGGCTGCCCTGAGGTCAGGCCTCTCCTCCACACAAGCCTAAATGAGTCTGACCCTGGATGGATAACACACACCACATATTTTGCCTTCTGGAGGACTGAAATACAGCCAAACTTGGTGCCATCAAGAATAGATTAAGGGGGAGACTGGTGAAAGGGGTGATGCTGATTAAGATGCGGTATGCTCACCACACAAACTACTGATTAAGATGCATTACACTCACACAAACTCACATGTTGAATTGATACGCCATTGTACAACTACTTAAGGATAATAACAATAAGGATAACAGCAATAAGAAGATTGGATCTGAGACTGCTGTGATAGTTTGAAGCCTCTGGTTAAAGAGATGGCTGGAGCCCCGTGCCCCTCGGCTCTCCCCAGACTTGTGCGGTTGGATGGCAGGGCCGTGAAGCCCTCACAGGAACCCTCAGGCAACAGGGGGAGTAAGGTGTGGAGCATTGCTTGGCTCTATGTGTTAGCGTGGAGGGGAGGCCAAGTGCTTCCTTTCCTTTTGGAGTCCTCTGAGATTTCTCTCCAGGTGCCTGCCCTCTAGACCCTCAGGATGAGGTCGGGGTGGGGGTGGGAGGTTAGCTAGTGCCCAGACCTCAGCTAGTGCCTAGATCTGGACGCACAGACCTCCGTGCCCATGCGACTCGGAAGGAGGTCTTGGGGTAAATGATAAAGCACTCTTCCAGAAATAGCGTTTGATCACTTTCCAGAAGATTCCGCGATTCCCTACTAATTTAACTAAGGTTCCACATGGAAGCTTCCTCGAGAAATTGGTCTTAGCTAATAGGTAATGATTTGTAATTAGCAAGTTGTGTGTAAATGAATGCCACGAATGGCCTGCACACAATTCTTCTCCCAAGCAAGTGAAAGTTCCTCTTTTATACGTAATTGATTTATACCAGTAATCGACCTACCCTTCAAAGAATAGTGACCTTCCTCACACCGACTGTCCCATATGCTCACGTGTCCAGTTAGTGCTGGCTGAACGGGAGTTTCTGTCTACCTGTCAAAGTCCAAATGGGCATAGAAGTACCTTTGGATAGTCTTAGAGCCTGCAGTATGGGATATTGGGATTCACGTGGAAGATGAGCTAAGGACAGATGTTCCTGGCTGCAGGCATGAGAAGGTAGTCCTTGTTCTTGTAATTGCTGTGTGCTCTGTGGAACTTTTCTTACCAGTGTCGGGCTACTGTTCAAGGGCAGACCCCCCAACACACAGAAACTTACAGTCAGGAGAACTCTACATTCAACAATGAACACATTCTTCTTGTCTATTGCTCAAAGGGGAATAAAATTTTGAGTGTATGCTTATGTCTATAGCTGCACCTTCTGCCCATTCACCCATCCATCCATCACCCATCCATCCATCATCTATCACCCATCCATCCATGATCCATCCATCCATCCATCACCCATCCATCCATGATCCATCCATCCATCCATGATCCAGCCATGCAGCCAGCCAGCCATGCAGCCAGCCAGCCAGCCATCATCTCAATCACGGTTCTCAGTGTTTTGTATCATCTCAGGAACCCATTTGAAACTCTTTTCCCTTGGTGGATCTCTTCCTCTTTTAAGGCTGACCACTGTCCGGCCTCCTCTTTGGAGCTTACAAGGTCCTGCTGGTGGGTGACATCCAGAAGGCTACGGGGCGGAGCTTGGCTGCTGAAACAAAATGGATACCAGAACCTCCTTCTCTGGTAAGCAATCTGAGCTGCAAGTTGTGAGGTCACTTTTGTCCTAGGAAAGCATCCCCTGAGGAATGTCCGGTCCTGTCTGCCAGAGACATCAATCATGGGTGAATCCACATCACAAGGTCATCTCTAGAATCTTCTCTTATAATGACTAAGAGGGTTTTACTTCATTGAGTCTCCAAGATGTAAAACAAAGACCAATTTTATTGCAACATAGCTGACTCCAAGTGAAACATTCTTTTTTCCTTATCTCCCAGTGACTGCAGAGTTACAGTTCCTTCTCTTCAGTGGATATTTCAAATGTAGCTTGCTGTTAAAACAGGATGAGCAGGAAGTGGCACTATGGCTCAAGTGGTAGAGCGCTAGCCTTGAGCTGAAGAGCTGAGAGACAGCGCCCAGGTCCAGAGTTCAGGCCCCATGACCAAAAAAATAAGAGAATAGGGTGCGCAGTGTAGTCGCCTTTTCTGTCTCACTGGAAAAACAACCATGGCACCAGAGGTGCCCACAGCCTACTGCTCTGCCGGAGCGCGCCTGGCGTGGACCGAGCTCAGCGTGGGCTCTCACAGCCTGCTGCTCTGCCGGAGCGCGCCTGGCGTGGACCGAGCTCAGCGTGGGCTCTCACAGCCTGCTGCTCTGCCGGAGCGTGCCTGGCGTGGACCGAGCTCAGCGTGGGCTCTCAGCTGCTATTTCACCCAGAGCCTAGGTGTCACGCTGATCTTTTTGCCCTAGCGTTCACCTAGGAGTAGTGCGTTGGTTCTAATTTGTGAACCTGCTCAGGTTATTCGCGGCGTTGTGACCACTGGGACTGTGTGGACTGTGCGCTCTGTATCCATAGCAGGCACTTCAGGCAGGCACTGCAGCCTCACGGTGTGATGCCAAGGGTCTCTGGGCCCTTCAGGGCATGTGTTCATTGCCAGACAGGGGACCCCAGGGAGGAGTCTGGTGGGGAGCGTCTCTCTACCAGAGGAACAGAAGGCTAATCTGACGCTATGGATGCAAGCAGCTTGCTCGCCGTACCCATAGGATTTCAGGGCATTTGCTCTAAGAAAAGGGGTTGATTTCTGTAAGTGGAGCTGGGTTCCTGAGCACATCCCACTCCATCCCCTTTCTGTTTGGGCAGGTGTGCTGGTGTGGGAATTCAGCTGGAGATGTGCTGGTAGTCTCTCTAGTGCTCCTGACCCAGGACATTTATTCATTGCTATCTCTCCTTTAGCAAAGACCACGCTAAGGGAAATCTGGTTAGCTGCTAGCAAGGTGTCAGGCAGGCATTTACAGAACATTTACCGGGGGTCACCAACAATGCTGGATGGGTCCCGGAGGCTGCGTGTGAAGTAAAGTCTGAGACCAGGAGCCTTCATGTCTCCTGGGTGAGTAGAGAGAAGAGATGGCTTCAGGTGCAGGAGAGTTCCGTGTTCTCTCTCCCTTCCTTGGAAACGGTCCGCAGAGGACTCTGTCGCCCGCTGGAGGGGAGATGCTGTCCCCGATGGGTGAGAAAATGTCCTGAAGCAACACAGCTCCTCTCCAGGGTGTTGTTGTTTTTTCCTTTCCAATTTGATTACTGTAATTCAGTAACCAGCTTTGGAGTTTATCTTCTCTACCCATGTTAGTGTGATAGGAGTGGAAGCCATCAGCAGAGACGAGTCTGGACCTCAGTAGTCTGCTACGAGGGGTCCACGCTGCTCTGGTGTCCACCAGGGAGGGAGAAGGAGGGGGAGCTGCTGGAGCACTGAGCATCAGCGAGGAGGCAGAGGCCTGGCTCTGTCCCCATCATCCCCACAGAAACAGAGAAGAGCCTTCAGAGAATGCTTGCTGAATAATACACACGTGTGTATGCCTGCACACACACGTACATACCTGTGCACACACACTCTCTGACAAAAATATACTCACATACATGCACACAGCTCCCACACATACACAAAGGCTCTATATGTGCCCACAGTTCAGAGTCCTCAAACCTGAGCATGTGCATGAAGCATTGGGGCCTCCCCTTAAGGTGCAGCTCTGGTCCAGAAGAGCTGGGCTGGGTGAGGCAGAATCCAGAGAAGAGTCTCTTGCAATTGTAAACAAACTCCCAGGTGCTTCCTTGAGGGGACTTGGAGTAACCAGACACACTCAATGCACACTGTGCAGTTGTTTTCTCTGGAGTTGGTGCCTCTATGTAACTGAGAAGTACTGTGTATGATGGAAAAACTCTTCCTAGTACGTGAGAGTGGGCTGGGATCCAGGAGCTGCTAATCCCTGCCCAGTCATTAGTAACTGACATCTTAGACTTGCCATTGGGGAGCTTTCTTTTAGCTTTTAATCTATATTATGTGGTGTTCATTACTGTCAGGAAATACCTGATGCTGGATTACCTTATAAAGAAAAGAAGTTCATTTTTGTCATAGTTCTACAGGCCCAAAGACAATGTGTCCCAGTGTTAGCTGTGGTCAGGACATCATGGTAGATGGTGTGACAAGGCTCAGAGAGATAGAGATAAAAGGAGATGGGAAGAGAGAGGGGAAGGAAAGAAGGGAGAGGAGAGATGGAAGACGAAGAAAGAGACTGTCAGGGAGAGGAGATATTGTAAGAGAGGCAGAAAGAGGGAGGGAGACAAAAGAGAGGGACAGAGAGACACAAAAGGAATACAGAAAGAGAGACAGGGAGAAACAGATAGAGGTAGACAGAGAGACAGACAGGGAGGGGATATATTTCATCTAGAGACAGGGCACTAAAGAGAGAGGAGAGCTATGTTTATAACAACTCCCACTTGAAAGCACTAACTCCAGGTCCTGTGAAAAGGGCCTTCATTTCTTTAGAGGACAACAGCTCTGGCATCTTTCCATTGGGTTCCTGGTTACAGGCCCAATCTCTTAAACACGGCCACACCGGGACCCAGCCTCCAGCACAAGAACTGAGGAGGACACACATTAACGTCAGAGCAGCAGTAACACAGGAAACTTCCACCCTCCTGTGGAATCAGGCTGCAGTAACCGAGGATCAAGGGCTGTCTTGGAATTTCAGCTGTCCTGAGGACACACCCATGTGTGCCTTGACAGGTGCAGGGAGAAGATCTTGCACACCAGGGAGCATTTTTTTCCAGTTCTTGATGAGTGTGAGACAGAAGTTAATTTTTTAAATTCTAAGTTATTTCATATGAGTCGAATGGAAAAATGATGACAGTAAACAAGCTGTGTCTACTTTACCTGGTTGTGTTTGATGTCTTCAGCGGGTGCACCGTAGGAATTCCTATACAAAGTTGAAATACCAGTGTTCTGAGCTACAAGCAAAAGGAGAACACATGTATTAGCAGAAAAGCCTGATTCCAAGTGTGGAGTTGTAATGACTGTTAGAGCAAACACTCGTCCGGCAAAGCTTGGTTGTTCAGGGACCATTCCAAGCAGAAGGAATTCTTTGGGCCCTGAGCACCCTTTTATATGCAGCGATTCAGGGGGAAGAACAGTTATTTTATAAAGTCTGCACAGCCCGCCAGGCTCTTCCAATAATTGCTCACATCCCAGACAGGGTCAGGGCAGGTGTGATGCACACAGATGGTCATCTTGCAAGTTTTATTGCCTTCCTTTCTGGTGAAAACGGGCGGATAATAAAAGCTTGTCGGTTGCACTGAAGCATGCCCTCGTCTGTATCAGCAGCTTAGTTTTTTAGCTGGAGAATGACGAGAATAACACTTCTCATTTGAGCTCACAGAAGTGCTTGATCAGGGTTCAGACAGTTCATTTCTCGGAGGTCTACGGGCCTGGCAGAGGGCGCCACGGGAACGTCCTCTGCAACTTTGCAAGCTTAGAGGGGGCAGAGACAGAAGCCCCACTCTGTCTTTCTGGCCTGCCTGGAGTCTGGATGAATGGAAAGAAAGCCTCTTCTACCTACCAGAAGCTTCCTTATTTTCCTATTGCGGGTGGGGACCCTTTTTCCTGCCAAGGGCCATTTGAATATTTATCACATCATACGTGGGTCATATAAAATGATCATGGGCCATGGCAGCCAATGAGAAGCACACTGAAGACATCCATGTTTATCCTGTTGTGTACCAAATGGTTTTGTGGGTCTGACAGCTCCCAGCCCTGGCTACTAGCTCTTCTGTGGCCCTGGAGGCCCATGCCAGCTACCAGGCTGCCTCCTTGTTAGTGGTCAGGTGACAGCTCGGATGTCCCCTCCTTACCCCCAGCAGGCGAAGGCACCCTTCCTACCTGGCCTCCCAGCCTCCCAGAACTCTGCTGAGTCTTTTCATCTCACCCAACATAGTGGGGGCACTTATTCTATCAGAGAAGCCCCATGAAGACAGACAGTCTGCCCTGTCACAGAGGCTGGTATCAGTGGCCATTTCATTTGATGGGTCTATCAATGACAGCATAAGCCTGAGAAAAACCTGCCTTCAGAGCTATAACTTACTGCTGAAAAATGTCACTTCAAGGACAAGATGGAATTTTGATCTTTCAGTGGTTTAGAATATTTTTTTTTCGGGGGTAGAGGGTAATAGAATAGCTGAACTCTTAGAGTCTTGGCTCTTAGAGTCACTCCATATGTTTGTAGCTTCTGAGCGAAAGATATTTCTCTTGGATGTTCTCTTTGGCCTAGTAACCTGTTTAAAGGAGACTAGTCGACACTGAACTACTTTCACAGCAGGTGTCGTCTTCAAGCATATTCTGCCCATGTGTCTGCTAAGAACAGGTTTACAGAGAAACACTTTTCCTTCTTCTGCATCATCCCACAAACATCTACTTTCCAACTGAATCAAATATATTAAGATTCAAATGGCTTTAAGAGGCATGAGAGGCTATGGCAAAAACACAGAGACCATCTGGTGAAAAGGCATTGGAGAAAGCCTAGAGGAGGGTAAAGACCCTAGGGAAGAATTAAAAGTCAGCGCACGCAGGCAGGGACCCGAGGTCTGCCCTGAGCTTCTGCACACTAGAGACTCTGACATAGTCATGAGCATGACGGTCAGCTGTTGAAGTTCAGCATGCCCAGGAAACAGCAGACTTCGGCTTTCCAAGGCCACTCAGAAACAGACACGGAGGGGAGAAGGCACCTCAAGAAACGTCATCTAGGCTAGACAATGAATCCAGAAAAGGAAGGAAGTGGGGGTGGGATGAAAAGCAGGAGTTGAATTTCTCTATTTTTACCCTCCCTCCCCTTCTTCCATCCCTAGCGAGCAAAGCCTAGTTATAGTGTGTCCAGCATCTTGGAACCTCTTCTACTATGAGTAGTGTCAGGAAACGAAGTCTGGGGTGAGTCCTTTCTAATTTGAAGCAATAGCGTAAGTTGGTCACATGAAAAGGAAAGATTAAAATAAATTGTGTGCAGACTATATTTTCTCTTGGCTGCTTCAAAGACTAAGATGCTGTTTTTAGACCTGTACCTGAAAGTCCTCATTTCAAGTTCCTGGGCTTGATGGCTCTGAGGATCCCAAGTGATCCAATGGCTACTAAGTCCTCCTGAGCCCCAAAGCATGGCTTACAGCTTGAGGCCCTAGCCCTTGGCCCCATCCCAGGTCAAGGAGGAAGTGTGGAACGGTGCTCACCTGTCATGGTGTCTTTCCTGGATGTGTGTTCGCCTTTAGTTCCGTGGTAAGTGGCATTGCTGCCGGTGGACTCATAGTCTGTTTTCCTTTCTTTGAGGCTGATCATTTCCCGAGGTGAAGCTGGGGCACTTGCTATGTAAAGCAATGAAAAGGATGATTTTCACATTCCATGGTATATATACACCTTTTCACACCAATGGTTAATGTCATAGATTCACATGGTCCCTTAATACATAGGCATGGTCTCCTGAGACTCTTTGTATGGGTGGGGGTATTCTTCTTCTTTTTCTTCGTCACTTTCCCTCACTCTGTAACACTGGTGTTTTGCAGTAGTGAGGATGTATGTGTCTTAGAGAGAGAAATAAGGATTACATCCCAGGTTCCTCTTCCTTAGAGAGAAATCTTGGTAGGGGTAGGACCTGCCTAAGGTTTAGCTGGCAGTGTTAAAAATGAGAATGGTTTTTCTTTCTCTTTCTCTCTCTCCTTTCTTTCCCCTCCCTCCCTCCCTTCCTTTCTTCCTCCCTCCTTCCCGTCCTTCCTTTCTTTTTTTTTTTTTTTTTGGGTCCGGTTGTGGAACCTGAACTCTGGGCCTGGGTGCCGTCCCTCAGCTCTTCAGCTCAAGGCTAGCACTCTACCACTTGAGCCACAGCGCCACTTCCGGCTTTTTTTTTGCTTATGTGGTGCTGAGGAATCGAACCCAGGACCTCAGGGATGCAAGGCAAGCGCTCTACCACTGAGCCACCTTCCCAGCCCCCGTCCTTCCTTTCTTCCTGTCTCTCTCCGTCTCTGTCTCCCTTCTTTCTATTTAAAACAGAACCACTTCAGAGGACCCATTATGACTTTAAGCAGCACAAATCTGAGAAATCCAAATCTAGATGCTTCAGAAGCTGAAACTTTTTGAGTACGGGCATGACGCCAAAGTTAGAAACCTCTACACCATTTCTCCTGGGATGAGTTTCAGATTAAACACACAAAATGATTTGAAAATTGTATAAAGTTATACTCAGGGTATGTGTATAAGGTGTGTATGAAACATAAGTGAATTTCAGGTTTTGACCTGGAAGCCATCCTCAATACAGCTTATTATGTATATGGAACTATTCCAAAATCCACAATTTATAAAAGGAAAAAAGTCAGAAATACAAAATGCTTCTGGTCCCAAGCACTTTGAATAAAGGCTAATTAACCTGTATTCATAATTAAATAATCCTTAATTTAAATGGGTACAACTTGGCTTAAGAAGTCACCCAGAAACTGCCTAAAGGAAGGCAGAGAACACAACTCTTCTGAAGAAGGATTCATGGGGCTGAAATGGCCAAGGCCACCATGCTTTGCTCCAGGGTGGCCAAGGGGCAGGCACGAAGACCTCTCCTTGTCCCTTGTAGATGAACACCCTGGCCATTCTCCATGCCTTACATTTTAGTCCCCTACTGCCTGCTGGACGCAAGGAATGAGTTCTATCATCTCTGAGTCCCCAGTTCTAAAAAGATGTATCTAAGCCTGGGACAGCTCCCGGGAGTTCTAATGAGGGGAACCTGGGAGGTGTGGGTTGTTTTCTGGGAGACAGCAAACCTAGCCTGCCAGTGCAAAGGGGTAGAAGGAGGGGAGAAACAGCAGTGCCCTGGGGCTGGACTGGCGAGGGGGTTCACGATGGCCCTAGGGTGGCATCCGGCCCAGTAAGAGCTCAGCCATGATGCTGTTCTGGCTCTTGCCTTCCCCCATCTTCCTGCATCCTAAGGCAGTGCTGCATCAACCTGTTTAACCCAAAGACCCAGCTAAGATTTCAGGTACTGTCAGACCATCCCCTAGGCCACTGGAGTCTGAATTTGCAGTGGAGGGGCTTCAGGATCCCTGTTTAATGAGGATAATTAAGGCTAGGGCTCCCTGTGGGAACTCTGATGTTTAGCATAGGGCCTTCCTTCCTTTGCTAGTGTCCACCCCTTTCATCTGTGCCTCAGTTTACTGATCAGTGCATTATCTACATCCTGTGTAGGAATCCTCAGCCCCAGAACTGGGCCTGCTTGTACCTAGAACATACCTCTTTTTCCACTGTTTGAGTCCCTGGATTCTTTTTGTCAGACTTAGTATCCTCTATTTGCAAATCCCTGTGCTAGCCAGTGAGGGAGACAGAGATGTGAATTCTGCTGCACTTCCTGGGGGGAAGTAGGGCTCTCAAGAGAAGTAATGCAGAAGGAAGCACAAGCAATGTCATGCCAAGTGCTGGGAAAGGTCGCCAGCCTGAAAGGCCTGCAGCCCACTTCCCAAACTTATCAAAATCAGATCAAGACTCATTGCTCCAGCATTTCTAACCCTGGTTGCTCATTCAAATTAGATACCCAGACTTCTTCTGAAACACTGATGCTTGAGCCCCATCCAACATCAGTTGTGTGGGAAGCTCTGAAGGGGAGAGAGGAAAGAAAACCACAGGAGCTGGCAACAGCCCATAGGGCCTGTGTCACTCCTGAACACGCCTATAACTGTGATCAAACACAGTGCCACAGCTCCCTGCTATACAGGAGCCTGGGCAGGCAGGGGAGACCTGGGCAGGCCCCAGGTCTGTGGCAAGCGGGGACAGGCTGGCAGGACAAGAGCCACTTCTGCTCCAGTGGGTAGAGCAGGGAGACATATGGCACATTACACTGACTCTTGGGGTTCTAGAGATTGAAGAGGAACCTCTGAAAGGAAATTGGGGCCCATAGCAAGTCCCTGACTACTCTTGGCTGTGTCTAGCTTCCGCCTGCTCTCCAAGCACTGCTTGCTGGTCTCGCTCACTTCCTTCATCCTGTGTCTCTTCTCCTCTCTGTGCGTCCTCTTTTACAGGAAGCCTCCCTCTCTCCTTGCCCCTTTGCTGCTGGGCCTTCCTGCACCGAGAATGGCCTCTTAGGTGTCACTGCCAGGTAATCACAAAGGCACAGTATTCTGAAGACTCTTGACCAAAGCTTTGAAAATTAGAGCCTAATATTGCACAGATGGTGATGTTTATTAAAGCACATCAAGTGTGTAATTATCTCCGGAGACCTCACACAGCAGTGCTCTGAATCTCCAATAAATCAGGATAAGCTCTGGCAAAGAAGAAAAAAAAACAAATCATGAAAACAGGCGTTTATTAGTGTCTGGATGTGACTGGCCTAGGAAGCACCTGGTCTTTCCTGAATCGCAGCTCACACCCAGCCCCGCCTGCCCTGGAGGGGGCTGCACCTTCCAAAGGAGCGGCATCTCTTCTGCTTGTCAAGGATTGGCTCTCTGTAGTTCTTCATAATTAGACTCTTGTGGAATGGGGTAGTCAAAGCGGGAGAGGCCTGCCTGTGTGCTCCACTCACGGGAGGGTCTTGATTCTCCCCTGTCTAACCCTGGACACATAAGCTTCCCGGAGCCAGAGGGGGCCCAGCTATTCCAGCCCGGTGTTTCCCACTCACTTCTGTAGTTCTTCCTCAGGCTGACAGGAAAGTCTGGGGTGAAATTTTAAGACAATCGTTCTCAGGGAAAGAGAAAGCACTTCAGTGCTCAGTGCCTGCTGCCAGAGGTGCTAGGATGACGTTCCAGAACATACAAAATTTCCTCAGCAAGTGGAGGGCAGGGCAGGGAAGAAAGGTTGGCATAAATAAATGCCTAAGTGACTAGGTAGGTGTGGGTGCATAGAATTCATGTATTCTTCCTCCAGTCTCTGAACTGATATAAAATGCAGAAACCAAAAGAAAGGTTTTAAACACTTACATGTTGACTTAAATAACAGTGACACCCTGCCATGTCTCTTACTGAATTACATGTTCATATTCAATTTACCTTTCGTCTTGTCTTAATCTTTGGTATTACTGAAAATGGCTGAAAAGGATATAAAATAATGTTTTCTTTTAACAAATAAAAAATTCAGCTCAAAATTTAAGCAGTAGGAATATGACAGAATTAAAAACAAAGCCAGGCACTAGTGGCTCACATCAGTAATCTTAGCTACTCATGAGGCTGAGATCTGAGGATCACAGTTCCAAACTATCCTGGACAGAAGAGCCCTTGTGATTCTTAGCTCCAAATAATCAGCAAAAAGCCAGAAATAGAGGTATGGCCCCAGTGGTAGAGTGCCAGCCTTCAGTGAAAAAGCCAAGGAGAATAAGAGGTCCTGAGTCGAATCCCCAGTACTGGGGCTTATATGGGATAACTTGTAGTAATGGGACAATGGGATTATTGTAGTAACAATTAATAATTAATCAAACTGAATATAAGTAGTTACGGAGCCTTCAATGGTATATGTCAAATTTATAATCATACCAGAGGAAGAAACAAAACACCTTGTCTCCTCTGCTATAGTTTAATTTTCCAATTGCAAAGAAAATACAATTCAAACTTTGAGTCTTACAAGTTGCTCCATCAGGAACTCTAATGTGCGAGTTCTTCAGAGATTTTTCTTATACTTGCTCCTTGCTGACTGCACGTTCACGGCAGGCCTTCCACACCCGGAAGCCTGCTTCAGAGAGCCTTGCTCTGAATGTGTGTGTAGGTTTTATCGAGTTACCACCATGATCAAAAGAAAGTAGAAGATGGCTCTGTGTCTCATGCTTATCATCACACCTACTTAAAAGGCTGAGTTCTGAGGATCGAGGTTTGAAGCCAGCTTGGGCAGGAAAGTCTGTGAGACTATTATCACCAATTAAGCACCAAAATGCCACAAGTGGAGTTCAAGTGGTAGAGCACTAGAGATAACACCTAATCCCTGAGTTCAAGCCCTAGGACTGGCACACGTGCGCGCGCGCACACACACACACACACACACACACACACACACACACACACACACACAGAACCATTCATACTCTGCCCACAGGCCGCATCTGGGCGGGTGTGTGGGTGTGCCCAGGGGGAAGCTGAGGCCTGGGCAAGCCCTGGGCCATCTCTTACCTGAGCGGTTGTTGGGAGACACGCGCACAGGGGAGATGGAGGGTGTGCGGGAGGAGGAGTAGGGCCTTTGCCGATCCCTCTCGATGGTTGAAGATGAGGCTACAAAGTGATACTGTGACCATCCATCCTGCAAAGACAGTGTGTGCCCATTAAACCAGCAAAGCTGGGCATTGCTGGCCTCCTGACACCACAGGGGGCCAAGCACCTGCATCCGCAGCATGTTTCTAGAGGGTGTCAGGCGCGTGTGGAGCTGTGCAGCTCATCAAAGGGGAAATGGAGACACCGCCTCCTCCTGAGACAGCCCATTCAGGAGGGTCTGCTCTTAGTGATGCCTTTCTTTCCCACATGTTGAACAAATGGTCTCTTGGCCTAACTTGCTTTGCCAGAGGTTTCTATTAAACGCAAATGGGATGCTCAGACTGTCAGGTGATCCTGAAAACGCCTGTCTTCCGCCTGCCCGCCTGCCTTCAGTTCTGCTTCCTCTCTGAAAGCCTTGGAGGCTCCTCAAGTGTGAAGCGTTTATTACTCTCCCTGTTTAGGAACAACCTGTGAGCTATTGGAGGCCAAATCCTCCCTTCCCGTTGTTGATCTCTCTGTTGTGAATTCCTTCTTCTCAGCCACAAATGCCCAACCCCCCTGGTTCAGGGCCTTGGCAGGGCTGCTAAGCATTCTCACCTCCACCCTCTGGTGGCCCCAGGAAACACCCTGTCCATGAGCAAGGGCACAATGCATCTTGCCAATTCTTTAGCCTGCCCATATCTAGCCCACGTGTGGAAAGCATAGGAACTGTTTTTATGGAGAAAACATGCAACAGACATCACTCATCAGTTTGTGAGTTTAGAAAGCATGAATATTAATTAAAACATCTCATGATTCCATACCCCCAGCCCAGAGATCTCCCATGAACAATATGACAGTCTTTCCTTCCAGTCTTCCTTTTAAACTTCAATTCTATTTCTTTTTTTTAAGTTTAAAAATATTATCTCTAAGTAGTTGTCCAAAGAGGTGGCCAGTTAATGAAGCCATTCATGAACATATACCTGTCGATCCATGTCACCCTTTAACATTCTCACCCACTGCTCCCCTCACAAGTCTATTTCCATCAGAGCAACGCGTCAGAGTGCTGCGTGGAGCATGACGGCCTGTGCTGAATAGCCCACCGCCTGGAGAGCGATGGCAGGAGGGCCAGGGGTTTGAGGTCAGCAAAACTATAGTGAGATTCTGTCACACAAAAGTCAAAGAGAAGCCCCAGTGTGGTGGCATCCATCGGGAAGTCTAGTGAATTGGAAGACACAGATCAAGAGGACGTGGTTCTAGGTCAGCCTGGGTCCAAAGTTTGTGGGTTCTAGTCACACAAACAAAGCAGGTGTGGCGGTGTGAAGGTCAAGTGACAGCAGGAGGAGCATCGCTGTCTGGCTGGCTGAGGGAAATGGTGTGAGATTCTGTCTGAATATTAACCTAAGAGAAAATAAAACCTGAGGGTGTGGCTGCTGAAGTGCTTGGCCCCGAGTTCCAATATCGAAAACAGAAACTGCACCAAACTTCCCCACAAGTAAGTCGTATGTCTGGATGACAGCAGAAGGAAGCGCGGGCACTGACTCCCCGTAGCTGCTTCATGGAAACATTTATTTCCAATTTTTTGAGGAGGGAGAGTGGATGATTTTTAAGGGTTTCAATGCACTGTAAAGCATGATCACAAATATTAATAGGAGAAAATGAATAAGGAACACACTTCATACTTATTTCTGCATTTACGTCTCTCGTTTATTTAATAGTCATTACTCCTGCGGGTGACTGGCAGGACAAAGCCAAGCCTAGAAGCAGGTAACTTTAGAGGAGCTGACAAATACTAGTGTTTACTATGTGACGAGAGCTGAGCTGTGTTACAATCTCACTTTGCCCAGGAAGAGCCTGAACCTTGGAAGTACAGGGGTCTCCACAGTCAGGACAGTCAGTGAGCAGAAATGTTGGGCTGGTGACACAGTGGGAGGTACCATCCACTCCTCAGAAGCAGGGGAGGGCAGGGAGCACAGAGCTGCTGTGGCCACTGAAGGGCTCTGAAGAGTGAGTGCTATAGTCTGGGCTATGGCAGGGGGCCATCAGGAGCCAGCAGGAAGGGCAGAGGAGTAAGAGAAGTGAGGAGAGGGGCCGTGGGAGAGGATGATGGAGGGGTGACACATGGACCAGGAAGCTCTCTGCTCCCAAGCTGACATGTCCCACTGAATCTCCTTTGTACAACTACTGGAGGATAGTGATAGTAATAGTAATTACTAATAATAACCAAAGGCTTCTGTGATTGAGGGGTGGGCAAGGGGACGGGGGTGGGGGCTGGAGTCCTCGCGTGTCCAGGCAGCTGGGCAATGGGAGGGCGGTGAGTGTCTGGGAGAGGGAAGAGTGCCCAGAGACTCAGTGGGGCTGTGAGGACAGCACACGGGCTGAGGAGCTCAAGTCTTACCCCCAACTTCTGAGGTAGAACAAAGGGCGTGGAGGTGTCTTTCTCTACCCAGGCAGCCAAAGGGCAAGAAGCAATTTAGGAGATGGAAACCAAGACTGCCTTTGGGGTCTGTTAGGGCAGAGACACTCATAAGGCCTGGAAGAGACATGGAGAATTGAGCAGAATCTGCAGAGCAGATCTCAGGAGCCAGGCCTGGGCCAGAAAGGCTCTAATTTAAATACAAATAAAGGAAATCAGAAGATAGCGAGTCCAGGGCAAGCCAGCAGGTAGAGGGTGCCCAGAGTTAGAGACCTTCCAAGGAGGCGGAGAAGGACAGTAAGCTGGGGGTGGGAGGGGGTGGGTAGGGCAGCCTAGGTAGGGGTGACAACAGTAAGATTAGGAGAGCTGATGAATAAAGAAGACCAGCCAAATGAAGAGGACCGAGCACCTCCTTGGGTCCTGGGAAGATGGAAATCATGTGATGGGCAGGCACAAAGGTTCCTTATTTGGAGACACTGTGAAGGCTACTTCGCCACAGCTCGTAAGAATGGGAACCAGTGAGGAGGAGGCAGCCTTTGCCAGAGTTCCACATGAAGGGCAGTGGAGTCGTGGAGCCAGATGAGAGCGAGGATCCGAAATGTTTCAACAGACGCCCTGGAGGATACTGCAGTTCTACTGATGGGATGACTCAACATCAGGAGGAAAAACCTGGTGATTTCCCGGAGAGAACAGTGGAGAGGCACAGAGGCTGACAGGATTCAGTGAGCAAAGAGGTTACTGGCCCCGGGACAGGAGGGAGGAGGGACAGGCTGTCTAGCTCCAGACACCGTGAGGAGGACCCTTACACAGGAGACCGAGGACATTTTCTCTTGTCATTTCATGTTTTCTCACAGAAGAGAAGTGAGGCCATCTACTACAAGTAAGCAGGGACTAGAGTTTAGAGAATAAGACAGAGGAGGAGGAGGCAGGAGAGAGGGGGCACGTAGAGTGATTCTGGAGACCAGTGGGGTTCACAAGTTGGCTGTGGCCAGGTGGTTGGGTGGCTCAGAGGAGGGGCCAGGTTGGGGGGTGGGATGCTGGGGTGGGACTTGGGGTACGTGGCAATGGATTTAAAGTGAGGCGACTAAGCAGCAGAATAGTTTGCATTTCTCCAGCCACCTCCAGCTGCTCTGCTGAGGTGCACAGTGGGTAACACTGGATGGAAGTTGTCAGGTAGTAACTTCAAGAGGGACAGGGAGAAGGGAAAGTCACGGGGACCCACACCAGCTATGCAGGGGAGAGGAAAATAGGATGTGAGGGAGGAAACAGAGGGAAAAGGAGTCAGTGGTCTGGAGATCCTACAAGAGTCAGAGACTGCTGGAGTGGGGTACTTCACAGATTCTATGACTTTCCTGAGTGGGGAATAATTCCTTCCTTCCTTCCTTGCTTCCTTCCTTCCTTGCTTCCTTCCTTTCTCCTTCCTCCTCCTTCTTCCTCCTCCTCTTCCTCTTTCTTCTTAAGGCTCTACCACTAGAGCCACAGCTTTTTGTTGGTTCATTGCAAATAAATGTCTCACAGACCTTCCTTTCTCAGCTGGCTTCAAAGCTCAGTTCTCAGGTCTCAGCCTTTTGAGTGGCTAGGATTACAAGTGTGAGCTGCCAATGCACAGTGAAAAGAAACTTCTTGAAAATACTGTGGCATGAAGAGGACATCTACCCTATCTGCAGGGCCAGTGTCATGGGAAATGAGACAGCTCTTCTTGGAGAAGGCGTGAGGGAGCGTGTCCCCAGGGCCATGGAGTGCCTGTTAGGCTGCAGGGGACTTCACTGTCAACAGACCCTGGGGTACCGAAGGAAAGGAGTGGGAAGGACGCTGCTGGGTGTCTGTGCGGAGTACGGCCTGTTGAAGGCCTTTGAGGAGTGAGTCTAGGAAATGGTGGACAATCCTAAGAGCTTGGACACTGGTGGCAACTGAGGTAATGAAGAAAGAAGAGCCCAGGCTGCGAATGACTCCTGGGGCAGAGTGGGCATGTGTTGTGACGAAGGACAGGAATCAAGGTAGGAGCAGGAAATGTCCACATCGATTTTTTCTCAGTACTTTAGAGGGTGCTGCCAATGGCAGGGGAATGACATTTATATAATTTAAGAGAACAAAGGGGTTTCAGTTCAGCACGTCGGTTTATGAGTACAAGGCGTCTTGATTAATGTCACTCCTTCCATTAGTTCTCCCCATCTCTCCCAACTCCATCCATCCCCTCAGCTCCATTTTCACATCTGTACACTGGAGACGATGACTGCATCCACCCACCCTTCCTCTCCATGGGGGAAGGGCGTGTGCAGGGTGGAACATGCTTCCAAGTTGTATACACCAATTACTCAGCCTGGGAATGACAGAAGACTGCTTAAAAATACTTCCATTGGTGTGGACAGTGAAATTCCTATAGACGACGAAACTAAGACAGGCCATCTCGTCTCTGTCTCATCCATGACACTTTGCTGTTCTAAATGGTGGCTGGAGACACAGTTCTGATCATAAACCTTGGCTGCTTGGGGCATAAATCAATGATGGTATTCTGCATATCATTTAAGGTAAGCAAGGTATTTTACAGTAACAATACTGGTTAATATTTGATATGTTCTAAGACCTGTAACTAGGCTACCACATAGTACTCTTCATGTCTGGTCATGCCAGGGAAAGTGAATATGAAAGCAAAA